GAAAATTCACGTCAGTCCCAAAACGAAAGAAGTCCTTGACTTCTTCGGAACTTTCAAACTAGAACTGAGGGGCGAAGTAGAAATGAAGGTGAGTTTTGTTTTGTTTAATTGTGAATCTGCACAATGGATAACCTAGTCTATTTCGACTGCCCGGATCTAACCCTACATTTGATCTTGTAAGCCCTCAAAGTTACTAATGAGTTATCGAGAGACGTGAAGGTGGAAATGGTAGGTGGTTAAAATCAGGAGGATACGGGAAGAGTGTAATTTTCACATTACCGCAGTAACCATTTCAATTCGTTTAACTATATTTAACCATATTTTATACGAGTCATATGAAGTGTGAAAACGGATGCAGAAAAAGACATCACTTCCTTGACATAGGCAGTTAACTTATCATTTTCAACATTGAAAAGTATATTACTATATTTAAAAAATATTCCAAATCATATTAAAAGCATTATGTTTCATAAAAGCAATGTTAGTATATATTTGTTACCTAGATAACTTTTTTATCTGCCGAACTTTTCCTGGCTTCTCGATTTAAGTTAATGTACGACAATGAGTTTGAAATTCAGTATTGACATACCCACTTCTGTAAAATGTAGCTTATAAATTCTTGCTTTATATGTATCGTAATAAGTGAAGACTATGACACTTAGTATGATATGAACAAAGATTCTTACATACAATATTAATTACATTTGTTCTTGTGGAAAACGTTTCACGTTGCACGGCGTGAGTTCATAGATATTTGAAGAAAATGAAGTTAACCTGCCTGTTTTGCTCCCCCCCCCTCCCCAGTGGCACAACGGTATATCTGTAATCTTATACCGCTAGAAACCGGGTTTCGAAACCGTGGTGGGCAGAGCACAGATAGCCCTTTTCTTCTAGCTTTGCGCTTAATAACAACAACGTACCTGTTTTAAAATGTCGATTTTTCTAAAGATATTTCTTTAAACTAAATATTGAATTTTTTATATTTAAAATGGTTGTTTTCATTGACGAAAAAAGGTGAGGAACACACTCTGTCCTTTCTCAGTCGCTTTGTAAAAAAGACAATGTAAAAATACCAACATTTTATTATTTCCTACCTATTTTTTGTTGTGTTCCGAAAATAGTTTTTTAGATTATTTGTTTGTTTGTTTTGAATTTCGCGCAAAGCTACACGAGGGCTATCTGCGCTAGCCGTCCTTAATTTAGTGGTGTAATACTAGCGGGAAGGCAGCTAGTCATCACCACCAACCGCCAACTCTTGGGCTACTCTTTTACCAACGGTTAGTGGAATTGACCGTCACATTATAACGCCCACACGGCTGAAAGGGCGAGGATGTTTGGTGGGACGAGGATTCGAACCCGCGACCCGCAGATTGCGAGTCGAGCGTCCTAATCACTTATTTTTTTATTATTTGAAAAGTATGAATTGTTTTGGGTTTTACTTCTCGGCTGACAATGGAGAAAGAAATGAAAGAATACTTCAAAAAATTGTTCCATTACTGACAATGGAAATTTAATATATACAAAAAAAAACACAAGGAAATAACTAATGCAAGATGTATTTTAAGAATATCATGAAATTATAGGAATGTTTATATTTTGTTTAATACAATTGAAATAATCTTGTAGGGAAAAGGGAAGCTTATGACGTACTGGTTATTAGAAGAGGTAAGCATGGCTACTGCGTCCAACGTCAACAATGACCCACCTCTAACTACTTCAGCTACATAAATATCTGAAAGACGAATATCCAGTATTTATTCCGAAGAAAACCTGAAAGCATTGAAGTTAATCATTTTCGTTTCTTCTCACATTACATTTCACGATGGAAAGGAAATGGCGTAACATAATAGTTTACAGGCCAACTGTAACTGAAAGGAAATGACATAGACATAATAACTTAAAGGAAAAATATACAGGAAAATTAAATGTGTAAGATAGTTCTTATTAAATAATTCTTATAAATTATATTTGAAGGGTGCATATATTTAAAGAATGTCTTTACAAATTATTAATAACTAGTTAATAAGCTTATGATGTTAATTGTTAATGTTAACTGAAAAAGGAAATTATTTGTATTGAGCAAGAAAAGATATCTTAAATGTCTTTTTTTTCTTTTTTTTACTGTATCAGTTGTTGTTGAATTAGCAGTTTTTTTTGTTCTTTTGGAAACATGACATCTATTGATTGTCCCTTCTAGGTGTATTGTCCCTTCCAGATGTAATAAAACATATTCATTATTACTCGTTTCTCTAATCGTATGTTTCTATCAATAATATAGGTAAGCAAAAATTAATACGTTTTGTATGAAACTTCAAAATAATATCATTCAGCAATTCGATACACATGAATTACAAAAAACAAAAACACCTTCAGCTGGCTTAATGTAATCTGCTCATTTCTGTTTCTTATGGATTTGAAGTTGAAATTTTGAGATAAGCTATGCATTGATGTATTACGTTCACTAGAGTTAAGTATTCGAAAAATAATATAACCCAGTCAACTTGAGCAACAGGTCAAAAGAAGGTCTAAATGTGAGTATTTTTATCCATTATGTCCCAAATCTCATTTGGTGTTCCCTGATCATCACCTTAGGGGTCTATATGCTGTATGTACTACTTAGGGGGCTTTAAGTAGTTATGGTCATTTAATTAATAGTTATTTTTTGTAGTATGCCATACTTTTTGTAATTTGGATGTTAATGCAAATTAAAGTTTTGAATTCAGTCAGCAGCAACAACAACAACAACAACAAAAATACTGAACTAATTATATCCCCCTTCTTAAAATGATGAGCAAAGCAAATTTTATATATTTTTATTTGTAGAGATTCTATCAATTCGTAAAAAGCTTTATAATTTTTGAATTCTTTTTAGGTCAGTTCAACTTTGACTCACTTTTTTGTCTTTGCCCCCCAGTGGCATAGCGGTATGTCTGCGGACTTACAACGCTATAATCTGGGTTTCTATATGCATGGTGGGCGAGAACACAGATAGCCCATTGTGTAGCTTTGTGCTTAATTACCAAAACAAACAAACATGTTTGTCTTTATTACATTATGTCATTTATGTTTTATGTTATAATTTCACTATTAATGTATACTTTACACACTCCAGCCATGAGGAAGAATATCAAGTTTCATATCACGTCTCCAACTATTTTTTTCTACGTTCATATATTTTATGTTATAATTTCAGTATTCATGTATACTTTACACACTCCAGTTATGAGGAAAAATATCAAGTTTCATATCACGTCTCCAACTATTTTTTTCTGCATTCATACGTTTTATGTTACAATTTCAGTATTCGTGCATACTTTACACACTCCAGCCATGAGGAGAATATCAAGTTTCATATCACGTCTCCAACTATTTTTTTCTACTTTCATATATTTTATAAAACGTTTTTCTGATGTTATTTCAAATGATAAGATTTTTCAATTTTCATTTCAAATTAAATCATATATCACATTCGTATCAATATTAAGTGTAATTCGGACGTTTGATCTTAGAATGATCAGTTTCTCCAAGAGATTGCACATTCGTATTCAAGAGACAACCTATTTCAGATATCCACTATAGAGACCTGCCATTTAAGTTATTTGATTAAGAAACACAAATATTTGAATTGTTTTAGAATACTCTTTCGTTTGAAATATTTTGGAAAATTCTATACTTTTAGAAACATTTAAAACATAATGGTTTGAGAAATTCGGCTGTACAAATAAAAACAAACAATCAATATATCTGCGGATAGTGTTTTAATTTAAAAATCTATTTCTGGCTGATATTTTGTTTTCTAATGAGGAGAACAATCTATGCAAATTCGAGAAAAAACCCATCTAAACTTTATATTTAAGTACTTACGGTAAGGATGAGATAATAGAATATCAATCGCTGTCATGGTTAGTAACCTGTACGATCGGGTAAGTGTAATTATTGGTTAGTAACTATATAGATACTAATTATTAGCTAATCTTTATCCTTTTCTCAGGCTGCTAAAGAGGTCTTCAGAAAGATTAATTACTTCTCCATTGGTGTTAAGCGGGATTAGTTCCTGGCTGCTCTTGATGGAAGTCGTACGTTATCCATTTTTCCACTGGATTAGAGTTTTCATCGTGGTCGATTCAAAGCAACCTTCACATGAAAACCTAATAGATAAAAGTTTTTTAACTCGTAGCGTTTGTTAGAATACGCGTATTCATAAATTTTGTCTTAATTATAGTTTGAAAGCAAAATTAATCCCAATAAGAGTTTAAAGTGCTTTTTAAAATCTTAAACATTAGCATGCAAAGCCTCGGATTCAGCCGCAATATGTTGGTCTTGAAGAGGTGTCCCCCGGTGGGACAGCGGTGAGTCTACAGATTTGCAACGCTAAACTCAGGGGTTCGATTCCCCCTCGGTGGACACAGCAGATAGCCCAATGTGGCTTTGCTGTATGAAAACACATACATACTTACATACTTGAAGAGGTGGAATGAAACGTGGCTTTGCTATATGAAAACACGTGCATACTTACATACTTGAAGAGGTGGAATGAAACGTAAAAATAAAATTTGAATGCTACTCTTGAGGGAACGTATTTTACAACGTCAAACTTTAATCCTTTTTTTTTGGAGAGGGGTGGGAACTAATGCAGACGACTTCGAATACTCTCAAAAATAGAATGTTTACAAAACTAATTGGTAACATTACTGTTATACAACTAAAAGGAAAATAAATTTTGTTTCTTCAAAAGCTCATTTTTCATTAATATCACATGGTGAATTGTTAGAATATTATACAAACTATTTCTTTAAAAGCTCCTAGTCTGTATAATATTCTAACAATTCACCATGTGATATTAATGAAAATCATAACGAAAAAAATATCTTGGCATTAGTAATACTTCACTGTTCTAAAGACTGAATAAGATGCACAAAACTAAGCCTACATGTGATATATCTGTTGTTATGAAGACTTATATGAGTGAAGCAGGAGGAAAATATATTCGGAATTTAGATCTCTTATTCTCATGAGAAACGGATGTGGAAGCACATAAAAAATAATTTATCGATTGATGGAATGAAAAACCTAGTGTTTAATTTTTTATGAAGATTTACGTGAATTCAACAAGTAACAAGTTGCATAGGATACTCTCTTGTGTATTATGCTTATAAGTAAGTTTCAGTGAAACATTTGAAACTGTCCAACTGTTAAAGGTATTTTAAGATAAGTTTTACAATTCTATTCTTGGAGATTTGTGAAATACATTTGAACTGTTTTATTTGCATGGTTTCGTTGAATATACCAAGTTAATTTATTTCACGTACTAAAACAATGTATTTTAAAAATAGTATTAAATATGACAACTCGACTTGAGAAAAATACCTTTTTTTATGAAAGTCTGTTGTTGCTTTTTTTGGAAAACTCTGTCAAACCTGTAGATTTTTTTGGCATTAATTGGCCCACAAGTTTGTCATAAAAGTAACAAAACTACGTACCTTTCTAGGGGGGGCACAGGGATTTTTACCGAGATTTCCTTAGGCCAGTCCGCGCTTGTCAATTTCATTATGCAAATAAATTACAGTCTTATAGATTGTGGCATATTTTGAAAACTAGTTTTAAAAAATTCTAGGCAGTTTTTTCGTTTTTACATTACATAAAGTATCTATCTATTACGTCTGAAATAATTGATTTTGTTTCTCAGAAATTGGACAACAAAAGGGAGCACTGCATTTGCAAAAACAATTGTTGAAAGAAAAACAAAAACGAAAAAATCAAACAAGGCAATAGCATGAACCATAAAGTATATTAGTTTCAGAAGCCTTTAAGGCCCAAATTAAATAAATGAAGTTATTTTTGAAAAGAATATCAGTTTTAGTCTTTGTATTACACTCGCTTACCCTTGTATATAAGAAAAGATGGTTTAAAAAAAATAAAGTAAAACTTTTCAAAAAGGGAAGTAAATGTAAGGATGGCTAATATCAATCCTTCAAAAACAATGCAAACAAGATAGTATGGATAGCAGTTGCATCATTCCTACATAATAGCACAGGCACACAGACAAAAATAGGATAAATTAAACTATCATGCTATTATGTAGGGATGTTGCAAATGACATCCCTGCTATTTTGTTTGCATTATTTTTAAAGGATTGATATTAGCCATCCTTACATTTACTTTCTTTTTTTGAAAAGTTTTTTAATTACTTGTTTGTGTGTTGTTATTTTTTAATGCAGTGTTTCAGTAAACATAGGAAGGTTGTATTTATAACCAAGTTTCTAAATAGAGTGAGGTTCCAACTGTAATGTTTATTGTTTATCTATTATTGGCTGGTAATTCCTGTTTCGCCCTGTACTTAAACATTTTAAGGGATCAGCAAATTTCTGTGAAGAAGCTAACTTCAAGGGGTAATGATAACATCGTTTATACTAGAATTATGTTTTTGTTTTTTAATTACTAATAGTTAATAATACTTATAAAAGCTGGTACTCCGTTTGAAACTATGCCACCTCAGTGAAATTGATTGACACCAAGTTATCGTGTAATAAAAAAAAGAACAAGAAATTCAAACTTTTTATAATAATATTTACAGACTTTAACTCAGTCCTTACAAAGATATTGTTATAAAAGTAAACACTATATAGTATCGTAAGATTATGCTGACCTACTGAAGAAATAATTCAAATACTATTTCGATGAACATTCCAGGCCATCCCTACATAGGCAGTGTTACCACCCGCCTGATATGTAAATTCAAAATGCGAGAGCCTAATGAAACCTCATACGTTTTCATGCAGAAAAAAAGACGTAAAGTCGTTAATCTTTATGGCCTCATATACTAGTGGCACGAGGCATGAGGTCAAGCTGCTTGTTTAACTGCAGCTTCCTTGTACAATAAACTGTAGTTACATAAATTATTAGTGAATAGATAGAGAAACTACATAACTAAGGATTTAGAGGTAATGCATGACAAAAAATAGTCAGTTATTGGTTTTATTCCGAACTTATGAGTTTCTCATTCCCTAAATAAGGAAAACAATAAGAGGATGGGACAATCGTCATCAATATGCTATAACTTAATTTTAAATTATTGGTAGCTTTTTAAATTTGAAAATCGTCTATTACTAGTGACATTGGTTTGAATGAAGGCCTAGGATTTTTAAATACGATACTATGATGTACATTACGTGCTCAAGGAACTAATAAAGTCATTACTTTAATATCTGACTTCGAAATAAAAAGCAGAGAATTAAAAAAA